TTCTTTGAAAGGAACCAAGATAATCCACTGTTTCCATGAAGTAACTCAACAACATCAGGATGATCATCATTACAAAAGAAAAAGGACTGTTCTCCGAATTCGGCATCAACATACAATTCGTGATCTTCACGTAAGTTCTCCGGATTCTCATCGTCTAATGCTGGTATGGAAACATCTTGCCACTCATCGTGATCACGTCTAACCTTCGACTGATTCACACGTACCACTGCCTTACCAGTGTTGGCTTGGACCATAGCTCCTTCTTGTCCAAGTACTGTGGCACGAACCCAACGTCCTTTATCCTTGAACTTTGATGAATCCTGAGTCCAAATAAAAACCTTCTCTCCTTGGAAATAGGGACCATCACTTGGCATAGTCCTTCTTGCAAGATCTGCTCGAAGGTCCTGAGCTTGTCGTGCTTCTTGATGAGCTCTCAAAGCTACACGTTGTAGTTCCAGATTTGTACGATCTTGTGCGGCTGCACTAGCTGACAATTGCTCAGGGCTTGCGGTCTCAAGGTCAAAAAGATCTGGTGGACGTCTTCCAGTTGCTATCTCTATTGGTGAATATCCACTGATAGTCAACTGACAATTTCTTGCCCACACTACTTTCTTGACCACTTCTCTGACCGTAACACCACGAAAACGTGGATCATCCAGATCTACTTTCATAACATGCCACATACGTTTGAACAAACGTACAGCTGTCTCTGCTCGGTTCGGCCAAGGAGTTCTTGGCCCACAAGGACATTGTTGTATACCATGAAACCTGTAGTATTCAACAAAAGCATCTGTGAAAAAGGCTTCGTCTCCTACGATGGCCTTCGGAACACAATTGTTCTCATCAGACCACTGCCTCAATGCTTGGATGGTGGTTTGATCTATGAGGTCTTTCTGTGCCGTAGCCCAGAGAAGATTTGTGGCACCATCAAGAACAAGTAGAATGATATACTTGTTCTTGTGAAGTTCAACCTCACAATGATCAGCAAAAACAACATCACCAAAACATGAAGCTCTAATACCGGAGACTCTGGCTCGTGGCGGAGGTGCCACTGAAGTGTTACAAACACGGCAGTTCCTGACAACTGATTCATACTTCTCTAAAACAGAGTCAGGAAGCTTCAACATAGAAACACGTCTACGAAACTGAGTAGGACTCATATGGTAGTGCTTCACATGAAGCTTATAAAGCTCTACCTTGTCCTCCAGTCTCTGCAACATCTTCCTATATGCCGGTGTCATTGCAACAACTTCACTACCAGGTAATGGGATTGAAATCCGCCTAGGCTCAAGAGCGCCATCACCTGGTTCAAGTGGTTCATGTTTATCACTTGATGGTCCTTTTGATGCTTTAGAAATTTCTACAAGTTCACCTTCTGGCCTCTCAGGTGGTTCTGAAGGAGTATAACCCTCAGGATCATCACCCTTTAAATCCTTTGGAGGCTCAGATGGTTTTGACTTGTGTCCTTTCCAAAATGGATCAAAACCCATGGAAGTATACAGAAACTTCGGCGGCACGGGCTTTTCCGCGGCACTGGATGGTGCACCTTCCTTCTCTGAAGAGAAGCCTGGTTCCCTGTCCTTTGCAATGGGAACCTTCTCTGAGGAGGAGCGCACCACTGCATCGGGATCGCCAATGCCACGGTGTTCAATGCCAGCCTTCCTGATCTTTAGATCTGGAATTTTGGCATCTGGCTTGAACTTAAAAATTGTTCTACCACGCCATTCATAGCCAATTTGTAGGTCCTTCCATTTTGCCTTGCGCCAATCATCTGTCTTCTTGATCTCTTCTCCACCTTCTTTCTTCTTGATGATTGTCAGCCGCAAGTCTTCCAGCAAATCAGTGTCTACAGGACATGACTTAGTTGCTGGGAAAAAAATCTTCCTGTAATCCTTATGGTGACGTGTCAGTTCTCTCTTGTGAAGATCTACTTCCCAGTAGTCAACCACAGGATATGCGTGCTCAGCTTCATCTTCATCACTATTGTGATCACCTGAAATATGGCCATGTTCATAGTGAGTGAAGTGAGAGTAAAAGCTCTTCTCTCGCCGAGCCTGCAAACGCACGTCAGACAGATACCATGCAATATCTTGGAAGTCCAAAACCAGATGAGTACTGGCTGCAACCTTCAACTCCAAAAATTTGATACCAAGAGGCACCGATGTCAGGTAAGCATGTTGAGGTGTCAGCCTGAGTTCAAAGCCTAAGTTTCTCATCTGTGGCAAGCTCATAAGCAAAGGGACTTCTCCTTCTTCAACTATGTCGAACTCTGTATGGTGGATCGTCCATGCACGATCATACATGTAAATCACCAGTTTCTGAGAGCAAGAAGCCTTCTGAGAATTGGCAAAGTAAAACTTGCTCTTGGTAGACTCAAAAGAGTACCATAGTCCACAGTCTGGATGATTGTCGACATAGTTACAAAAATAATCGACTGCACGCCTTGATCCCATAGCTCTAGTGCATCCAATATCCAGGATTGCAATAGTTGGCGGGAAGCGATTCTCAGTCAAAAATGAAATAGCCTGCATCTCTTTCACTTCTTCCTCAGCGCTCATAAGCGCAAAGCCATCAGGAGCATCTGTGAGCATCTCCTTTGACAAAGAGTACCTCACAGGGGCACTCATGCCATCGAAGATCGTCTCACCATTGTTGACATCACAGTCAGCTTCATCTTGACATGAGGTCATCATGCCTGACAGCAAATCCACCTCACTGTCATGGACTTCAGCTGCTGTTGTCACACAATGTGCAAAGAAACCTTGGTTGCTTCCTGATGCTTGTGAAGTTCTCGAAGGTGCAGGTAAAGAACGTGGCTGTTGTTGATTTGCATAGTTTGCATCTTGTTTGCCATCTCCTTTATCTTTTCCTTTTCCTTTCTTGCCTTTTCTCTTGCCTTTTCCTTTTCCTTTGTGGGAAAACCATGCTTCTTCAAGCTGTTACCAAAAGTCATTAGCATCTTCATATTCTCCTTGAAGATAGTCATTCATATCTTCGGCAAGAATAGCATCATATGCTACTTGATTTAACTCCCAAGTGTCCTCATAAGGATTCTCTTCAAAATACTCATCTAGATAAGTTGTCGATTGCTCATCAGCATAGTGGCCTTTACCTCGTCTCTTTCCTTTTCCTTTTCCTCGAGGTCTAAAAAATCTGCGGCCTAATTTTCTTTTTCCTTTTCCTTTTCTTCTACCTTTTCCTTTGCCTTTTCTAACTCTTCTTCCTTAGAATCTCCTCTGGAACCAAAAGAAGTTCTGTTCATCATATACCCAAAAGACATCGTCCAAGGCATCAAGGAATCCTTCTCTTCCATCTTCTTCATCTTCGGCCCAATAGCCAAATGTACCATCTAGTTCTCCTTCGGCTAGTACGAGAAATGATCTTCTACCTCCAGCACCTGTCGGCTGCATCAAAGGATTGTCTACTAAAGTCTTTATCGTGCAGAACATCTCGATAAATACTGTCCTCAACTCTGTTGTAGTGTATTGCTGCAGGACCCTGCCACGATGAGTCATCAAAGAAGTCAAAGTGTTTCGCTGGTCCTGAAACAAATCTGCAAATGACAGCATGAGCAAGGCAATCAGATTTTCTCCTAGAGGAAATTCGTTCTGATGAAAAGTCCTCATATTACCATTGATGGTCTGCATAATTTCCTAAATCCTTTCTACCGTTGGAGCTACTCCAATCAACGCTGCATCAGCCTGCATCTGAGCTAGGACCTAAGGATGTGCTTGTGTGACTTGCTCTAACATGTCCATCCAACTGCTCATAAGCCTTTGGAGTAAAATCTGGAATCTTGTCATCCACTTCAACATGTCAGCTAATCCTCGATTAAAGCGCACGAATTGCATGAACCTATACAGGAATACATTGGTGGATCCTTTCACAAAATATAGACGTAATACTCGTTTGAAGTATTCTACTCCTGCTCCTGGTGGATCATTCGCCTTCAATGCATCTCTATCTAATACTCGCTTGTATACAGCTGCTTCTCCTTCTAGTCGGTTTCTCAATGCTGGTCCTCTTTTCTCATCCTCCAGCTCGGTGATATCACACCAATCGTCTATGGCATCCTCATAGGAAAACCATGAAGTCTTTCCATCATAAGATGGGGGCACCTTTATAGTGACCTGTATTGTCATAGCTATCGCTGCTGGTTCTCTTCTCACATGCCTATTCACGTAGACTGCTGGCTCATAAGCCACATCCGCATCAGACTCTTCCCAGTCGTCAATCCAATCCATGGCCGTTTGCCCACAAGCAATTCTATGCCTAGGAAAGGAGCTCACCTGGGTCTTCCAGGATCACTGCTCCGTTACCACTGAAAGAGTGACTAGGGCGTACACGGTAGAGGTGCAGACCGCTAGTGTCTTTTGCTCACGCAGAGTCTTATCCTATATCTCTTGAGCCTTATGGCAGTCAAGCATGGACACACTAGATAGGCCACTGGAGTGGAACCTGTACAAGTAGGCTCTACCTTTCAGGGGGGGGTGGGGGGGTCTTCGACCTGAAAAATCAGGGGTTAGGATTTGCACCCGGTCGAAAGAAACCTTGCTATCGCAAGAGTAACTCCAGCTAGCTTCGCTAGCTTTCGTGATATTTCAATGATTACCGCATATTATCGCAATAAAATCTTTCTTTCCAATGCCAGATAATCTGGAATCGTCCGGAGGTTGCTGGAGGTAGTTGCTTGCGATTCCTATTCTCTTTGTAGAGGAGCAACGCAAGTTTGCTCACAAGTGCACATATGGGGATCTTATCATTCAGCTAAGAAGACACTCCTTGTGTTGGGGTATCGTTAAAATTGCCCACCTATGAAAATAAAAACGAGTCTGCATTCTCTACCAAGCTCTTCCCATAATGAAAATCAAGCTGAAGGGAACCATCGTGTGCAGGCCAAAAACGGCTCTCAGACTCATGCCAAGCTCTGAGGATCTTCCCATCTCAATGGCTGCAATGCAGAACGTCCCTTATCGTTTTTCGAGGAAAACACAAAAGACACCAATTGAATCATTGCATCACACATCCCAATTAAATCTAAATGACAATAGTTGTGCTTCTGGCTCATATATATATATATATATCTTTCTTTTTCACAATTCACAATTTGAAAATGCTGGTATAAGAGTTGGACAGTTGGACCCACGAATCCTTTTAAATTCGTAAGGCCGTAAGGAATTGATTCACTAACGGCTTCATGTGATTCCACAGGAGCCAAACACTATCGTGGAGCCGTCACTCTGTCATCAAGGCAGGAATTTGTTTCGGCGCTCCAAGCCTTGACAAGCGAACGATTCGGTACACTGGTACACCATGGTCCCCAACAATTCCATCATGGGACATGAATGGAGCAAGCTTTGGTACAGAGTTGGTATATACAAGCCCTGGAAGGACCCGCAAACAATTACAAGGCCTGGCCCAAGCCTCACGCGCGGTCGGAAAAGGACCGTCCTCGAAAATACTCACTCCACGCAAAATCGGGTAAACTGTGTGCCGACTAGCTGTCTGGCTAAAGAGTAGTCAGTATACTGTTATACATCAAGAGGATGATCTATTGGTTTTATTAATTACTGGGTCTTACAAAGTCGGTGTGGATGCGCCACGGTCGAATTGGAAAGTACATCACCTATCACTCGCTGTTGTATCTATAGCGCTCAGAATAACATTTGAATAAGCTTAAACAGATTTGGAATGCTTTGGAATGCTTTGGATGGCGGACATTCACACGTGTAGGGGAAAGGGTTTTCACTTTTCACTTTGAGACCTTCAAAATGAAACAACTTTTGTCCAGTGGTGTATTCTGACAAACTCTTACTCACCCCGGATCTACCAGGCTTCTGCTTCGGGATGGTGCACCGGATGGGTTCGGAAAAGCATCGCCCCATGACCGGCTCTGAGAACGACAGCACTGGCCCAGCCTTGCAAGTCAGCTTGGAATTCACCGGCCAGTTCATGTTCCTGGGCTTCGAGAATGATCATAGGCCCTGTCCGCTTGTCGACCATGCTTGCATGGGCAGCTTGCACGTGCGCCAAACGAAAAACAACCCAGCATGACAAACCCTGAGACATGCTGCAACTCTCACTTTCTCCACTCAACCGCAAAAGTCGGAAGCTCTTTGTTCAACCCAAAAAACAGAGCAGTTCTATATCTCTAAGCACCACGGAGGACCTCCTCCGAAGCCCTTCACATTGCATCCAAAGTGACCAGTTGAGTGTGGAGATGTCCTTGAAGCCCCAAATGTAGGTATCTGAATGCTTCACCGAAATGGCACGCAAGCCACCTCTCGCAGCACAGTTGCAGTGTTGCAATTCAAAAACAGAGTTGATTAACAAAACGTCACATGACTCATGAATGTTGGACATAGCCGGAATGCCCACTGTGGCACAAGGGAGCCGGGCGGCACAATGCTGCCCTTGAAGATTCAGCAAAGAACTGCAAGCTGAAACAACAAACGATCAAGGCTGTTTCTACATGTTTCTACCATTTTCTACCACATGCCTCCAAGTGAGTTGGTGCCAGAGTCGCAAGTCTAGACAAAAGTTGTGAAATCATGTGAGTCAAAGCTTTAGCTGGCCGTCTGTGGTGCCATGTTCTTCTCAACATCCGCTGCTTGTGCGAGTGAAAACATGGCATCACACCACACACCAACACACTTTTTCAGGGAATTCAGTCTGACTTGACCAATACTTGGGACACACAAATCTGCTTGTCGTCGCAGGTGACTCGAACCCACCAGATGCGGGAAGTTATTAGTGCTCTTGGCCTTGTTGGTCGACGTTTGCCATGGGTATCGCGTCATCGTCCACGTCGCTGGCCAGCACCACACACTGAGCCAATCGGTCAGATGGAGGAGCCGAGATGTACCGAAACGAAGAGGGTTTTGACGGGTGGAAAGGGTTTTCGTTTCAAGGTCCATACGGATGAATCTTTTTTGTTTATGGTGAACCATGAACATCATTGATCATGAACCTTGGTTGTTGAGATCTCAGGAGCAAACTTTTTGCAGAGTGAACCTACTTCCTGTATCATCTGGATCCACCCGCTCCAGCCACATACTTTTGATCTCAAGAAAGCTGTCCAAAGCTGAGCGAACTATGACCAGCTGATCTGGTTGAATCTCGATGGGTTACCCGCAACTAAACCATTGTACGGGCAAACCTGCGTTTGTCTTGAAGTATCATGAAAGTGATTGGCAATTTGGTCATACTTATTCTACCAACACATTTGGAGGATCGTTTGGGAGGTCATGTGCCAACAAACACGCAGGAGCTGTACAAACATGATTAAGACGAGAATGCAAAAGCAATGAAGAGCATCTAGACACATCGGAAGAAGAACACTGGACAGGAACAGGTCTCTACACTTCTTGAAACCACCCTGTACTCAAATGTGTGGAATGCGGTTTCGTCTTGCAACCATGATGCAACCGTATTAATCACACCGTGTCAATCCTTATGGATCAAAACCAATTCTATGTCAGAGTCAATGTCGCCTTGGATCCCAAACATGGCAAACACGTAACATTTAAGATACTGGTGTGTTAACAGCATAGGGTTGCAACGAAACAGCAGGTACCACTTGCGTAGAAAGTCTGGTGCTCAGGAAACGAGCTGCAAGAAAATCCTTGGGGCGAGCATTGGTAGCATTCTCTGACTAAGTCTAAGTGCCACCCAGAAATGCCAAGGATAGCCAAGACACATAAATTCCCATTGCTAACGCCACATGATCTACGGCAGTGACATTGTAACTGACCTGGGTATGACGTGAAAACCGTGCGGGTCGTGCATGCTGTTCAGTCCAGCTTGGAGCTTCCGCTTGCTGCAACTCTGGTGAAACTTCCATTCATGATCAGTCTTCCACCTTCGTGGCCTTCTTTAAGTAGTGGACTCTTGTTATATACTCCTATTGACTTAGAGCATGGGGGCATGAGCATGTGCACTGCTTCCGCCAAGTCTCGGAGTGGGGGACAATCTGCCAGGTATCTGGTTCACTGAGTACTCCCATTGTGTACTTGAACTCACTCTGATAGAAGTAGGTCTTACCTGGCGGCCATCAGCACTGGAGTCTTTCATACTGATGCTTGCAGCTCTATGGTACAATGTGTACAACATACAAAACCTGGAGGCGAAACACACGAACGACCACAGCACGACTTGGATCCCTCTGTCTAGCGCAACAACTCTTCCGAAGTGTTGATCTGGCAAATTCCTGAAATGCAGCTTGGTGCTTTCCATCCTGTTTCGAGTCAACTCCCAATCAACGCCAAGCCGCTCTTGGTGTTCCCATGCATTCATCTTTTAACAGCCCCATGGTGGTGGCAAACAAACTTATACACAGAAAAACCGAGTTATCCACTTGCTTAATTTTTATAATTTACACATTGGTACTAGAGTTAGCCGCACTGAAAATGCAAAAACAGACGGACAGAAACACATCAGCTCACTGAAAACCCACAGTAGCGCACCACCTAGAGATAGCCACTTTTCTCTGATCAACTGCATATGTCGATCCGTGTCGATCTGGCCCCGGTGAAACAATACTACATACATGCAAGTGCTGCGTTTGTCTGGATTCTTTGCAAGTTCTGCTCCCACTTGGTCCAAACATCACTGGACGGGTGAAAAAAGGACTAGCAGACTAGCATGAAAGAGAACAATTGAATAATTGTTGCGTACAGAAATCGGACCTCCACGAGAGAGCCATAAACAAGCCATGTGGAACATGCAAGTGAAGCCTGCCTAGATCATTTCTAGGCAGACTGAGCTGCTGTGCACGTGTGCTCAAGCAACTCAAAAGTCATGCAAGCCGATCTCTCCAAGCTTCCTGCAAAAGCAATACGCCATCCAAAGATATTGCACTGCAAACAGGACTCGACCAACGAAGAAACAAACGTATGGAACGATCTTGTTCAACAAAACAAGAGCATCAAAAGTGCATAACTCTATCCCGATCTCCTGGCTGACCAAGCTTGGTCGTTGCAAGAGCTGACAAGCGGGTCTCCACTGTGGCCAAACGATCCAGCCACGATTGCCGCTCTCGTGGATCACTGAAGGTTTGGAGA